ATGTTATATGTATAAATGATTGAACATAAATATGTACATACACACGAAATGAAATAAGACATAAATAAAATTTCACTCTCAAATTTCTCCAAAGTAAAGAAAGGCGCGGATTAAATAATTTTTTAAATTAAGGTAGTACACTCGCGAAATGAAAACAGTCAGAATTTTTTGAAATTGAAACTATATATTGTACTAGAAGACTTTGACGATGTGCAATTACAATGAGATTGATCGTTTCAATAAAAAACAAGCATAAAAAAACCTCACTTTTTATGTGTCGCCTACAAAATTCATGAAAATATCGCGTTCATTTTTGTAGGATCTAGCAGTGATATGTTAATAAAAAATGAGCATGCGATGGAGGAGCATGAAATGGATATTGTGAAAAAAATGTCATAATTTACTATCGTAATGGAATTTTCGATTGTTTTGCATAGGGAGACGACTATACGTCTGTATTCATTTTCTTTCCGCATGTACATGCAGCTTTGGACATCATAATCAAAAATTCTCTCTTACTAGCGGGAATGGAGATATCGTTAATGAGTACGCGATGGGACCAAACTTTTGGATGATATTATCGCAAGTGTACTATCTTAAAAGACTATATGGTAATGTAACTTTGGTAATAGAAATATTGAAAAGTAGCTCTGAACTTTTCCGCTTTTTTGTTGAAAGCCTAGAACAGTAACAAAAAGTTAGATTGAATAAAAAAGACCCAGATTACAGATGAAGGCAGTAAAAATATGATTGCTGACGGAGAATTAATTTAGAATCTGAATTCGATAAAGATAACGCGCTTGTTGTACTTTCTACACAGTAGAAGATCATCTAATTAAAACTCGCTTAATTACGAACTGTAGTTTTTTATTAAATGCCTAAGTATTTCACTTCATTATTCCGCCTTCAATGACTTCTTTTCTTTTCTCTTGATAGGATTCTTTTTACAGTCACTATAAATATTATTGAGATCGAATGCAGCTTTTACATTGTCCTGAAAAATTAAAACGAATAAATAAGAATTACATAAGCTAGGAGTTTAACAAATTAAATATGAATGATGACATACCAGCGAGAAAAGAAATTTAACAAGCTTCCCTTTATGATCCGCGTATGGACGTCGCTCTACTTCCTTGCCATCTTTAAAAAGTATCAGCGTTGGTAGCTGCTTGCTCGTGCTGGCGTCACTGACATGATACTTTGCCGCGGCATCTGGATGTCTTCCAACATCCACTTTACCGAATTTGAAGTTCTCCAATGCGTATCTAAATCATAATTTTCAATGTCAGTAAACATATCAAGTATTCTCTCGCGAAGAAAAAGAGATTAGATTATATATAGCCGCGTTCAGCAGAATTTATTTTATTTTGTATTTGCTGGAAATTTTCTTCGTTGGTAATAGAGAATTATCCTGTAGATCTAAAAGTACATTTAAAAAGTATATTTTTTAATATTTTTTTATACAGATTAATAACATTATTCATCCTGATTATTTAATTGAAGAATAAGATAGTAATATTTGGAAATTAATTATACCTATATTTTATAAGGAGAAATAAATTATTTGTTCTTATAAAGTATAAAATATTTTATAAGAATAAATAATTAAAATTATGAATGTAAGTATATAATTTAATTACATTAAATTAAGTTAAAGACATTATATAGAAGTAATATTTTGCAAAATTAAATAAAATATAAATATAGATATAATCAGAAATTAAAGGTAATCCAATTAGCAAAGAAAATTTGCAACAGATGCAAAATAAACATTCTGCAGACCATGGTATATATTTAATTAAATCACTTACTCTGCAGAAAGTTCAGAAAATATCGGTGCAAAGGTTACACAAGCTGGGTTCCACGCAGTGTAAAACGCTACTAGCCAGACCACTCTGGTATCACGTTGTAATTCCTCCTGCAGTCCATTGGCTCCACGTAAATAGATGACGTTCTCAGGCCCTTGATACATTGGTTCTGGCAGTACTAATGCAAATACTACACACAAAGTGCTATTAGATCGCTTATGACGCAATGGTCTATAATTCACGATGTTAAATGGTTGGCCAACTGTTGTACTGTTTACGGGGAACAATTAAAATTAATTCTATCGTATTCATGTGCTCAGTTACATACATTAGACTTTCCATAAACGATAACAAGTTAGCCGACATTTTGTCCATCGTGCTTCATAGTCTTCTCTTACGTATAAAAATAAATGCATATAGAATGCCCATCCGCACGTCCGCATAGAACCACAAGATTAAGTTTGCTCCTTTCGTATACATGAAACTAGACGTCAAGTAATTTATCATGGTCACACTGCCGGTCTTTCTTGTCCTTATCATAACAACAGTTATGAGGAAAAAGAGAATCTGTGTCTCCCTCTAAAAACATAAGTACTTGTTAATAAAATAATTAAATGTTAATTCTCATCTACAACTATGAAAACCTATATTCTAGAATGTCTTGTTTAAAATATAAAACGCAAGTAAATCTCTGTCGATTGATAAAGGAAAGTTCTAAATTTTTATCTACAATTTGGAATCTCATACAGATTCAATCATACAGATTGTACAATAAACTAAAAATATTCGCTTTGAGTTCAAATGACTTAGGCCTGATTGCTTAAAACTCTTTGTCTTTGTCTTTTTTCCAGTTTTAAAACGAAACAGAAAGAGTTTTAAATCTCGCTTAAAGTCAAAGTAACGTTGGTGCCCACTGGGCTTTATTGCTATAATCGAGAGTTAAAATCAGAATTATGTATTGTGTATAAAATATAATAATCTACATCTATGTGTATACAGGGTGTTCAAAAAAGGTAATATCAAAGTTTAGGAATATGTAGTACTTGTAAAAACAAACCAAAAAAAGTCTTGTATAATATAAACTATTCTAACTATTTTATATACCATTTATACAAATAATCCATGGTTTATTAAAACCCTTATTCTTATCATTAATTCTTATCATATTCTTTATCATTACACTGGGCTTTTATTTTACATTTTTTATATTATTACTAAAATCAGCAATTATAAAATTTAATCACTTCTTTCCGTATTGTATTATCAAATTTATAATCTACATATTATATACGTTACTCTTATATATTGTCTACATGAAAAAGAATTCCTATAGCACAATGTAACATTACAAAAAAATTTCGTGTAAACATGATCTCGAAATGTAAGCATAATCTTAGTTAAAATCATATCGTCGAGAAATTAGCATCACTTACCCCATCAAATTCGCAGCCGTCTTGAGCAAATATATAATTACAGACTACAGGAAGGCGTTTGGCGATGATGTAGGAGACACTGAGGAGGATATTTATTAAATAGTATGGCTTGACGAGCAATCTTAGATCCTTTTTGAACGACATTTCGCACAGTCGAAATAAAGATAATTTGTACAATTAGTAGATTACACCTGAGGTGCTCGGTACACACTCGAGGTATTCTAATTAACGTTAAACAACGATTATTGTACGATCTGTCTCGCAGACGTCTTCCTCCCGGACAATTCCTAAAGATGATCACTATCTCGCACACATGATGAGTGAGGTATCGTCAGTGAAATTTATTCATGTCAACGAGTGGAAGATATGGATCTGCAATGAAAATTAAAAACAAGGCCCACTGCGGACGCGCCTAATTTTTGTGTATTATTCTGTAGCGTGCAATGATGTGTCAAGTGTCAAGTTTCTCATGGTAACTCGCAGCAACTAATGGCAGATAGGTTCCATTATAAAGGACCGTTTACAATGGAGACAGCAAACGAAGCAAGTCGTAAGTCATAAGAAATTGACCAATCATAGTCGATTATTTTCCTCACATTTAATTGTGATTGATCAATTTCCTACGACTTTCTTACTTATCATCAAAGTTTGATTATCAACAAAGATGACAACTACAGAGAAAAAAGTGTAGTTTTTTTGCAATATATAAAATATTACAGCTTTACAAGTAGGAATATTTATTTATGGAATATTTATATAATAAAAAATTATGAATTTAATAATGTATAAGCCAAATATTTATGTTAATATAATAGCAAATTTATATCAATTGTCGATAATGTCAATGTTCTTCAATTACCTCCGAGCCTTTGGGGCACTTTTTATATCGCCGAAAATTTGCCCAGGATTGACAATCTTTAATAATATCTCATCGGTGATTGCTGTAAAATGTATAAATCTTTTTCCATAATTATCCACAGATGAAACAAAAATTAAATAAAAATTAATTATTTTATGAATCAGTCGTCTAAATATTAGTTCTATAAAATCGATAGTCTTTGATAATATCAGAATAGTGTACCTTGATGACGTGCTAACAATATTTTTTGACACCCTGTATATGATCAGACACGTGTGCAATGTTTACATGGTCAATGCACCCATTAAAAAACATCAAAGTGATAACATACAATGTGTGTTTTCTAATTGCAATATCCCTAGACTCTTTCGTGCACACGGCGACACAAGTTGCGTTCCAATTGTGCGTTATCGTCGATGCAACGCTACACATCTGTACGCAGTCGAGAGCTGTGTAAGCTTGTTTTCTAGTGACAATTACATATTATTAACTGCGGCGGCTGTAAATGAGGTTTGAAGACGTTGAGTGCCACTTTTATTTTTTTTTATTTAATACGGACGGAAAAAGCTACATTTAATCTAACTTTATCCGAAACAAATCTCAACCGTACACAGCGTACACATTCTGTTCCAATTGAATCGTGCACAATGATACACTTTGTGTATTCCTGTGTACGTTTGTGTTAAGATGGTTAAGCGATTGGACCACCGATGAGATACTATTAAAAACCGTCAATCCTAGACAAATTTTCGGCGGTATAAAGAGCCCAGAGGTAATTGAAGAACACTGACATTATCGACAATTGATATAAATTTGCGGTTATTAACATAAATAATTGGTTCATACATTATTAAATTCATGATTTTTTTATATAAATATTCTATAAATAAATATGCATACTTGTAAAGCTATAACATCCTATATACTGCAGAAAAATTACATTATGTTATTATCTCTATTGATAATCAAACTTCGACAATAACACTGAAATTACAATTTTAAAGAAAAATCGAGTATTATTGAGTTCTAAATGCATAAATACGTCTACTAAACTAATAAATCATAAAATTAATATAATATTATCAGTTTTTAACTCTTAACATTTCAATATTTTCAAGAACGCAAACTCTCGTAAGGATGTCGGTCTTTAATAGTATCTCGTCCGTGATACTATCAAAGTGTTATCACTTTTTTTTTTAAATTGTTAGAAAATGGCTAAGAAATTTACAAAGGTTAAATAATAAAGAGCATGCAGTCACTTTAAAAGAACATATTAATAATTTTAAAAAACCAGCTAATTCTCACTCCGTTATCTCAAATCACAGATTTGACGCAGACCATGTGATAGATTGGGATAGCGCTAAAATATTAGATTCGAAACGCTCTCATTATAAAAGATTAGTATCTGAGATGATTTATACTAAGATGCAAAAAAATGGTTTGAATAAACAAAGCGATACGGAACGGTTTCCAGATCTTTATCTCTCTCTCTCCTTGAACAATAGATTCTGGCCTCACTCTAAACTCTTTCCCCTTCCTTTCCCTTTTCTTACCCTTCCTTTTTCCTTTTCTTAATATAAATAGATCAGCATTTTTTGGCTTTTGTCGTTATTTGCAGTTTAAATTCACTCTACCTAAAATTGTCACAATGTTCAATTATACAGAGGAGTGTTCGCACCCCAGAATACACGTAAGTTTGTTCAGTTGGTTTTTCAAAAAAATAAAAAAATTTTTTTAAATAATTCTCTGGGTGGAATGTAAACAGGAGCATATTTCTTAATCTGATTGTTTCTTACAATAATATGACGATATCTAATTTACTTGGAAAAATTTTTTGTTTTTAAAATAGAACTTGGTACTTGCATGTCTCTTCGTGTGGGGTTCGTCGTTTTTAAATGAAGAATTCTTAATTGTATTATAACGAAAAAAACTTTTGTAATTTCTTTCTATTCATATAGCGCGACAATAATTAACTGTTACTTTAATTTACTTTGATCGGTTGCGATTACTACTGTATTGTAAGGAAATAATAATTTTTTGTTACTTGCTATCACTACATTTATCAGTTGACTTGCGTATTTAGTTTAATGTTCAACGTATTCATTTTTATTGTACTGAAGAGGGTCAAATCTTGACCGAAACGTCTACTTATCGTTATGAATTTGTTTTAAATAATATATAACTTATTTACATCCTTGGTCGTGGCTGTATGCTCTTTATTATTTAACCTTGATATATAATAATTGATACTCCCGCTCCTCGCGTCTCGCGTCTTTCTTCGACGCGAGAAACATATCTGAACATATCTGAATATCGTTCGCTGCGAATAAAAGAAAGTGTTAAGAACGAAATTAATGGTGTAAAATAAAGAATTTAAAACACACAATGTGATAACATAATTATTCAGAACAATTGCAATACTACAAAAAATGAAATCTAATAGATTTAAATGATATTCTCCAACCAAACAAAATTCGCAATTTCTAATTGCTGGTAGTTTCTGATTATAGTAACGTTGAATTATTATCGCTGAATGACTCTACATTTGCTTGTAGTAAATAGTACTAACTATAAATATATTTCCTGCTTATCAGAGATATTTTTCCCTTCTATGCTTTCTACTGTTGTATATATAAATTAATGCCATTTAATGCTTCTGTAGATACCTTATATCTTCAGAAGCTATAAGAAATTGCAAGATGAAGACAGTCAGCTTTGTGGGAATTTTATTGCTCCTTGAAGCTTGCTCGCTTATTAATGCAATTAACGAATGGAATCCTGGCACTCTTAACAATAGTTATCCTGTGATAGTGATCACTTGGGATTACAAAGATGCAATGAAAAAAGGTATATTGAGATATTTGAGATATCTAACTGTATCAACTTGTCAAGAATGAAAGATATGCAGTCTCTGCTAATTTAAAGATACTGTTACTTATTATTTAAGCATGGGATGTAATATATAATCAAAAGAGAAGTGCTCTGGATACGATAGAAGAAGGATGTTCCTTGTGCGAGGAGGAGCAATGCAGAAAGACAGTGGGATTTGGCGGCAGTCCAGATGAATCTGGAGAAACTACACTAGATGCTATGATTATGGATGGGTAAAGGCAATTGAAGTAACAAAAAAAGCAGTTTTTTTATTTCATTAAACTATACTAGTGATATATTCAAGAAAGGTATTTTTTTTTTGATAGGACAAACATGGATGTAGGAGGAATAGGAGGACTGCGAAATGTGAAGAATGTCATTTCGGTTGCTCGCAAGGTATTGGAACACACAGAGCATTCCTTATTAGTTGGGAGCTTGGCTACAGATTTTGCTGTGAAGATGGGATTCAAGCAGGAATCTTTGCAAACGAATGAATCCAAGGAGATGTGGACACAGTGGAAGGCAAACAAGTGTCAACCCAACTTTTGGAAGGTATTGAGAGAGGTCATATTTTTTCAGTATATTTCATTTTATGATTATTTCTATGATATTTTTGCTGTATTTAGAATGTTATACCAAATCCAACAAGTAGCTGTGGACCATATCGCCCAAGCAATATAGAAGATGATGAAAATGTGTTAATGAAAAGCGAGAAAAATCATGACACGATCGGTATAATCGCGATAGACTCACAGAGACGAGTAGCAGCTGGAACATCTACGAATGGCCTCAAGTATAAGATACCAGGTCGCGTTGGAGATTCTCCTATTGCAGGAGCTGGCGCATATGCCGATCAGGACGTTGGTGCAGCTGTCAGTACCGGCGACGGAGATATTATGATGCGATTTTTGCCGAGGTAACATTACGTATTAATTGTCTTTCCAGCGAGAGACACAGTGTAACACATTAATCGTTTCATTTTTGTTTAACATTAGCAAACAAGTTATGAGTCACTATTGTATTGTATCCTTCGTGTCTCTTGTTGAAAAATGTTCAGTATAAATATATTTTTTTCTAGGTACATTTTAATGAACTAAAATATAAATTTGTATGCATTCTATTTTCGTCTTAATTTTCCTACTTTAATTTTAAATTTAATTTATTTCAATAAATAAAGTTAATGTCTAATATAATATGTTGCATCTTAGTAATACAATTGTTGAAATTAAATTGAGTATTTTTTGCAGCTTTCTAGCGGTAGAAGAAATGCGTAATGGTGCAATGCCGAACATTGCTGCTAAGAAGGCAATAAGCAGAATCGCCCAGCATTATCCTAACTTCTTTGGCGGAGTGATCGCATTGAACAACAAAGGAGAATATGGAGCAGCGTGTAACGGAATGTTGACGTTTCCTTATTATGCTGCAAATCCTACTTTAGGCCCTAAGTTACATTCCGTTCAATGCAGCAATTATCCGCAATATGGATACGACGAAACTTGTTAATTTGCACATCTGTTCATACTTTAAAATGAATTATTCAGCTTATTTACCTTTATAAAATAAAAGAACAGAGGCTTAAAAATTTATTTGAGATATAATCTTATTACTCATGAACTTTAAATTACATTAAACTCGATATTGAAAATATCGTACGAAAAAACGTTGATGTAATGTAAACATAATCAGTTGTCAATAAAAAAATCGTACCAGTCGTAGCGATAATTCTTTCATAAGTTTGAGTTAAGAACAAGTTAAAGACTTCTTGC